CGGGGGCTCAGGGCGCGCTCCCTGCAGGCGGCTTGGCTGGCGGCATCGAGATCTGCATCACCTTCCCCACGGAGTACGTGAAGACGCAGCTGCAGCTGGACGAGCGTGCAAACCCTCCACGCTACCGGGGCATCGGTGAGGACTGGCACGCGCCACGGGGCCCGAGGGGTCGGGCCGGGGCACGCCGCGGGGACTGACCCGCCCCCTCTGCCCGCAGGGGACTGCGTGCGCCAGACGGTCCGCAGTCATGGCGTCCTGGGGCTGTACCGTGGCCTCAGCTCCCTGCTCTACGGCTCCATCCCCAAGGCGGCCGTCAGGTGAGCCCTCCCCCGTACTCCCCACACACACCTGGCCCAACCCGCCTGCCCATCCACACCACGATGGCAGTCTCTCATCTCCTCCACTCCCTCTCGCCCACCCTCCCATCAGGTTCGGCATGTTCGAGTTTCTCAGCAACCACATGCGCGACCCCCAGGGGCGTCTGGACAGCACTCGAGGGCTGCTATGCGGCCTGGGCGCCGGGGTAGCTGAGGCTGTGGTGGTCGTGTGTCCCATGGAAACTGTCAAGGTGGGCTTCGAGGGGCTTGCTGGGAGGCGTTGGCACAGGAAGGGCCTCCCTCCACCCCTGAGGGGGGTGTATGCTGGTCAGAAGATAGAAAAGTTCGTTTAAAGAAGTCCCAGGTAGCACGTGTTTGCTGCTGAAAGCCAGGAAATGAATTACCAGCAGACAGTGGGGCCCTTCCTTTCCCAGCTGGGTGCTCCCTGCCCTGTGGCCTAGGTTGGCACCGGTTGCAGGTGAAGAGTTGGCTCAGACCCTGGCCTGGCTTGGCTTTTGACTCCAGGGGTGGAGTGACCCACCAGTCCATGGGTGACTCCTTTGCTGTCCCCTCAGGTCAAGTTCATCCATGATCAGACTTCGCCCAGCCCCAAATACAAAGGTTTCTTCCATGGGGTTCGAGAGATCGTGAGGGAGCAAGGTGAGCCCCTGGGGAGGGCCAGGGACCACAGCCTGTCTGGAGGAGACTGCCCCCTCCTCCCCTTGGCCTGGGACGGGAGTGCCAGTGTGTGCTCCTGCCCCAGGTCTAAAGGGCACATACCAGGGCCTCACGGCCACAGTGCTGAAGCAGGGCTCCAACCAGGCCATCCGCTTCTTCGTCATGACTTCCCTTCGGAACTGGTACCGAGGTCCGTCCCCCAGACCCTCAAACTGGGCCCCCTCCCCTTCAAAGGTCCCTGGCCTGTCCCAGGCTCCTCCCCTCTCAACCTACCACCCACCCCTGGGAGAGTACTGAGACACCCAACCCCCCATATCCTCCCATCACCCCCTGACTGCATCCTCATGCCCACCCAGGGGACAACCCCAACAAGCCCATGAATCCCCTGATCACGGGGGTCTTTGGCGCAATTGCGGGTGCTGCCAGTGTTTTCGGGAACACTCCACTGGATGTGATCAAGACCAGGATGCAGGTGAGGGCGTGTGGCCGAGGTGCAGGGAGCCAGGTGGGAGGCCCGGCTGGCTGGTGGCTGAGCCGTGCTTGTCTGCACTTGCATGGCACAGGGCTTGGAGGCGCATAAGTATCGGAACACCTTGGACTGTGGTCTGCAAATCCTGAGGAATGAGGGGCTCAAGGCGTGAGTGACAGGCTGGCAGGGGAGGAGTTCTCCCTGGACAACCCCCACCCCAGAGCCCTGCCCTGTGCATCTCTCTCACGGCTCCTTCACCATCCCTGGGGGAGCACTGCTCTGCTCACCTCGCTACCCATGTGCCCCTCACAGGTTCTACAAGGGCACCGTCCCCCGCCTGGGTCGTGTCTGCCTCGATGTGGCCATCGTGTTTATCATCTATGACGAGGTCGTGAAGCTGCTTAACAAAGTGTGGAAGACAGACTGAACCCGGGGTCTGCTAAGCCAACCCCCACAGCTCACGTGATTCCTGTGCAGCATGCCAAAAGGCCCCATCCCCATGTCCTTCGAGTTCTGTGGCTCTCAAGCCGGTGTGTCCCTGTCCTGCTGTATGTCCATCCCTGTAGTCTGTGTCCAGCTGGGCTGTGGCTGGGTGTCCCTATGACTGTGAATCTGTGCCCGTGTGTCCCATGTGCTTGCTCTTGAGTCGTGTACCTATGTCTCATGTTCCGTGTTGTGTCACCCCGTGCCCCGTTTCCCCGGGGTGCCCATGTGGCCTGGGTCCACGGCCCCTGAAGCCATGGCCCGGTCCCAGTCCGGTGCCTTCCACCCCGGGCGGCAGGGGCACCCTGCCACAGCCGACCACAGCTGCCTCCGGGCCTCCGCCTGGCCTCATCGCATTCCAGGGGCTCCGTGCCCCCTGCTTCTCCCGCCACTGGCCTTAACCGGCCCCGGGCCCTTCCTCCGCCCGGGACAGGGTGGCACATGCCACTCAGGACCACCCGCCCACGGCAAAATAAACCGGATCCTGTCACAGTTTCCTGCCCCTGCTTCCGCTTGTAGGCACATCTCCAGGTGGGCAGTGATTGCCTTTCCACCTGAGGACCAAAAAACAAAACAAAACGAGACAGGGATGGGTCACTAGGAAGGCCATTGCTGTTGGAGCCTCAGCTCTCCAGGAGCCCCAGTCTATGAGGACTTGACCTCTCTGTGACCCGACACTCACTGGCTCAGGATGCCCCTTTCCTGGGACACAGCCCAGGAGGGCTTCTTCCAGTTGGCCCTTGGCATATTCTGGCCACCTCCTCTCCCTCCATGTTTTTCTATAGGGCTGCCGGAGACGAGACAAGAGTTTGGTTCCCTGAGACTCCCAGCCTGCCCGTCTTCTGTCCTTGAGCCAGGCTATAGGACCCTGACCCTGAGGGAAAGTGGCAGAGCTTTAGCTGGTGGACTTCCATGCCCTGGCCCCTCTGCCTGGAATTGAGGTAGATCCTGGGCTGTAGCCTCAGGCACCTTCCAGTCCATGTGGCTCCTGGGGAGACTGAGATGAACAAGCTGGCTATCGGGGAGGGCCATGTTCCCTCCTGAGACCCACCTCCTAGCCCTACCCCCCTCTTGTATCATGTGACCTGTGGCAGATCACATAACCTCTGTTTGGGAGCACAAGCGAGCCTGCCTTACTTAGTGTGCCGGTGGGCTACATGGTGCAGTTCTACCAAGGCCTCCGAATAACGTTTGACTCCCATGAAACCCTCTGTTTACATTGTACTGTGGAGGGTAGGGCTTGTTGGCTTATGTTCTAGATGGTTCCTGGAGCTGCTTCAGGCCTTGAGCTGGGCCCCAGGGGCACCCCAGTACCTCATTAAGTGCAGGTGTGTCCCGAGACCCTAGCTTTAGCCCCCTCTGCAGGGGAGGAGTGGCTGAGGGTGACCAGGAGGGGAAAGCCAGTCCAGGTGTACACCCTCCCTTGTGTCCCAACCAGAAGTGCTAACAGCCTGGTTTTGCTCCAGAAAGGAGCTCATCACCCCTATCCCCAGCTACCTGAGAAAGTGGGCAGGTTGACTCAATTTGGGGATCCTGAAAGCTGCCAGAAGGGAAGAGCTTTGGAGGCCCAGGTTCTGGTAAGGCACCGGGCCTGGAGGATAGAGGGGAAACAGGTTCCTTTTAACCAAGGCAGATAGCAGTGCACGCACTCGGGGGGCCATTGCTTCCCTCTGCGGAGCTGGGCAGGGAATTGAATTATGGGTAAACCTTTGAGTAAACCAGCAGGTAGAACAGACCCCTGGATATCCCTCCCTGGACTTGGCCTTCACAGCGCATCACCCCCAACACTGGATGTGCAGGGCAGGAGGGACAAGATGCTGGAAGCCACTAGATCTGTGGAGGCAGCATCTGCCAGTTCCACCTGACTGATGCCCAGCACGACCTCAGCTTCCAGAAGGGAGCCATCTGAAGTCACTGTCACAGCCAGTTCTACTTGGTCTCAAGTCTGGGGTCATCAGGGACAGGCCTCAAAGCTCTTCTCCCAACCCAGGACTTCCCCAACCTCCAGCTTTACAGTAGGAGGACTGGACAGGGGTGGAGGTCCCCCGACTTTGGGGCATAGGATGTGTCCTGCCCTCTCTGAGCTGATGCCCTGAACCTTCCCCTGCTGCCATCTGCTCAGGTGTCCCCTAGGTTTTTCTGTGGCCCTAGTGCAGCCCTGGTGGCATAGTGGGTACCTGTTGGGCTGCTGACATGCTCAGCAGTTTGAAACCGCCAGCGGCTCTATGGGAGAAAGATGGGATTTCCTACACTTGTGAAGATTTAACAGTTTAGGAAACACGAGCAGTTCTACCCTGCCCTATCGGGTCGCTGTGAGAACGAGTGCAGCTAATGAGTGGGAATCAGCTTAGTGTCCAAAGGCAATCAGTCCCTCCTGAGGAGTCTGCATCAGCAGAGAGAATTCCAAGTTTCAGACTGTGTCCCAAATTATGCATAATCCTCCAGAAAACAAGACCTTGTCTGACGATATAAACCCACCCCTTTCTGATTCTTATTTTAAGTCTTTTTGTGGATTTCCAAGGACAAGGGTATTAAGGGAGGGGCACAGCAGGAACGGGTGGAGATGGCCCATGGGTGGGCATAGAGAATGTGAAGGAAGAAAGAGGATACAGGGATGACATGGGAGGGCGGGGGATGCAGGTAACATTAGGGTTGAGACTCGGGAGGACACAGAGCTAACCTGAGTGAATGATGGGAAGGCTAGATACACAAACGAGTGTTAATCTGAAAAACATGGTTCCCCTGGGGCACCCGACCCACACTCAGCAAGTACTCCACCCCTGAGGAGTCTCCCCTCTGCTCAGCCTGTCGTCACAGACCCGCTCCTGACTGGCCACATCCACCACCCACTTCCCCATTGGCCTGGCCTGACCTGGGAAGACCCATAGGGCCACAGGGGCGGCATCCCCTAAGACGACCTCAAAGCCTCTGCCCCCATGCTCTGCTCGGATGCCTCCAGGGCAGCTAGCTCACTAGCCCCCCCCAAAACATCCCCACCCCGGGCTGGCAGGAAAACCCTGCTTGGTGGAGCTCCGGGGTCCTTGGCCCCGCACCGCTGCGGACGGGCGAGGCCAGGACAGCTCTCCAGGAGGAGGGTCCCTGGGCCACAAGCCGGGCAAAGTACACAAAACGCCTGCCATCGGTCGGGGTGAGGTGCCCACCAGGTCGTGGAGAGGGTCGCTTCTGGTGAGGGGCGGCGCCTGTGGTCATTCGTTGGCACCCGGAGGGAAGGGGGCGCCTCTCGGCGCACCCTTCTCCCCACAGGGAGCTCCCAAGACCTATTTCTGAAGGCGACACCGGTGGTGCCAGCCTCAGGAACCCGCGAGCCAGCCGCAGGCGGGTCCCGGCCGGAGCCCCAGGGTCGGGGGCGGAGAACACGCGCACCCGGAAGTAGGGGCGGCGCGTGCCGATGGCGTCACGGGCGCGCCCGCCGGCCCCGGGCGGAGCCTGGCCCCCAGGCTGGCTGCCCCCAGGCGTGCGCTTCCCTCTGTCCGAGTGAGTGGCTGTGTCTAGGGCCCCTCGTGGTCACTGGTCCTCAGATTTCCAGGAAAGCCTCTGGGCCTACACGGAATGGCCCACGGATCCCGACGAGTCCCTGGACCTCGCCCACAGCGACACGCACAAACACACCACGTCACCCCACCCCAGGCCGCACCACTCCCTCTGCAGGTGCAGCCACCGTGGGCATCCTCCCCCGAAGGCGCTTCTCCGTCCACGCCTTCGACTACCGGTAGCGCCACGCTGGACACTGCCAAGACCGCCTCCACCGCCCCCACCCCCCACCCCGAGGGACACTCCCTCCAACAGCCTGGCAGGACCTCTCTCTCAGCAAAGGCTGTTTGTTCCCTCCGCTCCACTGCTTCAGATCCTGCCTGAACCATGTGCAGATGGGGAAAGGGACCATCCCACCTGGGCCTGTGTCCCCCTCCACCTGGCCTGGGACGAGAGCTGCTTGATCAATGCTCAGTGAAGGATTTCCAGGTGGTTCAAACCCCACAGCTGCCTGCTCAGTGCCTCAAGTGTTGGAGGGCAGTAGTGGGGGTGGCGGGTGGTAAGGTTGTCTGCCCCTGTAAAGATGTAGTCTCTACCGATACAGGAGCTCTGGGCTTGCATGGGGTTGTGTAAGATCAGAGGTTTGAAACCGCCAGCCCTTGTGGGAGAACAATAAGGCTTCTCCTATTGTTGGTCGCCTTGACTCTGTTATGTAGCTTACTATATTTTTCAGTGTCTGAAACCTAGGATGGTGAATCTATAGAAACAATACTAGATTAAGGGTTCCTGCAGGGGAGCTAAGGGAACAATGGGAAGCTAATAACAAAGTGTACAAGAAGGTAGAAAAGAAATGTTCTAAAACTGATTGGGGTAGCGATTGTACACTTTTTAACATGACTGAACTATTTAATTGAATGATGTCTGGATTATGTGCTAATAAAGTGGTTTTAAAAATTATTTATTACATAAAATCCACAAAGAAACTAATAGAACTTGGGGGGAGGTTGTAATCTCAGAAACTGGCAGTTCTACCCTGCCCTACAAGATCAAACCGAGTTGTAATTTGACCTGATGGCAGTAAGGTTTTGTTTTTATTCCCTATACAGAATTCTTTTGATGCGTCAGGTTTTCATAGCTTCAAAACAACTCTGTAGAGGTAATTTTTTTCATGGAGAAAAGGTTGAAGTTGTCAAGGATTTCATCTTGACTTGGTTCCTGCCTGAACCATATGCAGATGGAGAAAGGGGACATCCCACCTGGGCCTGTGTCCCCACCCCATAGCCTGGGATGAGAGCTGCTTGATGGATGCTCAGTGAAGGATTTCAGGGTGGCTCTTTTAGAGTATTGAAAAGCAAGGACTAAGGTACCCCTGACCCAAGCCATGGTATTTGCAGTTGCCTCCTATGGATATGAAAGCTGGACATTGAATAAGGAAGATCGAAGAAAAATCAATGCATTTGAATTGTGCTGGCAAAGAATATTGAAAGTACCATGGGCTGCTAAAAGGACAAACCCATCTGCTTGGAAGAAGTACAGCCAGAGTGCTCCTTAGAGGTAAGGATGACAAGATTTCATCTCATGTACTTTGGACATGTTGTCAGGAGGGATCCATCCTTGAAGGACATTGACTTGGGAGAAGGGCAGAGAAAAATAGAGGAAAGCCCTTAACGAGATGGAAGGACACAGTGGCTCCAACAATGGACTCAAGCACAGGAACAGTGGTGAGAATGGCGCAGCTGCGGGGCAGTGTTTCCTGTTGTGCATAAGATGGCTGTGGGTTGAAAACAACCGGATGGCACCTAACAACAATATAGAGTTGTTTCAGGAACAAGGGTCCAGGATTGTCTGTCACTCCTTCAGCCAAGGACAGAGACCAGGTTGATTTGAGAAACTTAAGTTTATCTTGCAAGCACAGGGACAGAAGGGAATGGTACAATTTGCTACCTCCGAACTATGCTTCAAAAATCCAGTGTAAAATCAAACAAGTTGTGTACTTCAAA